TTTATACTACGTATATTAATCCAATATGCTATGTATAACACGTAGTAGAAATACGTAGTATATTCCACTAATATACGTAGTATATTCGACTAATATACGTAGTACATTCCACTAATACACGTAGTATATTCGACTACTACGCGTAGTATATTCGACTAATATGCGTAATATATTCAACTAATGTAAGTAGTATATTCAACTAATGTAAGTAGTATATTCAACTAAAGTAAGTAGTATATTCAACTAATGTAAGTAGTATATTCAACTAATGTAAGTAGTATAATCAACTTATATACGTAATATATTCAACTAATGTACGTAGTATATCGGTCTTATATACTAAGTACCCTAAGTACTAATATTTTACATACTAACATACTAATATACTAAGTATTTGATATACAAGTCTTGTATGATCATCTCTATTTCGTTTTTGTTTGTCAAATCAGTTGTTGGCACTCGATCGTCCTTGGTACTTAAAAGTAAAAATAAGTATGTGTGTAAGTTATTTAAAATTACATTCTAAAAATCGAATGTTGCCTGACATAACGAATTAACACATTTTTTAAGAAACAGAAAAAATATGCTATTTGATTTTACAAAATTATATATGAATTGTACCATTCATTCAGCTACCAAAATTTAAAATAAAATCACTTGGGGAAAATATTGAGTTGTGTCCATTGACGAAAGTTAGCAATCACCTACCATTGAACTGATATGATACGCTCTTTATTTTCTAATACTTTATTTTTAATCGCCTATTACCATTGACTAAATTAATTTAAAATTAATGGTAGAAACGAATAACTATTTGAAGGTAAGGTTTCAAATATATGTTGGGATTTCGATTTGAGAGACCGGATGAGGTGGCTGAGGGTATTAACTGATGTCCCGGCAGTGCCTCTTACCCGGAGGTGCTTACCTTCGAGTCCCGACAGTGGTAGTATTTTCTGCACTAGCTAAGTGGAATTTAGTCGCTGTCTGGAAGGTAATTTTAGTAGCCGGCTGCTCTGATCGGTTGTTTCCGCTGTTTCTCCGATCAATACCAGGCGAAATACATTTATGCCACATGGCTTTCAACCTAGACAGCAGCCACCACAACACCTTCTGCGGTAGTCACGTGAGGCCGGAGGCCGCGGGGACCGCAATCTCTGTTCTCCCCTTCTCCCGCACCGCAGCACCCCTTTGGGCCACGCCCCTTCCAATTAACGTCCTCGCGAGGACGCTGACCCCCGAGGGGGGAGGCCCGGCCCACGATAATTCAGTCAAGCACGGCTCCTTACACCGCTGTACCCACAGACTGCAGTTACCACATCAAAATGACAGCTAAAATAAATTCCTCAACAAATTCTCAGATCTCGACCAAATGTGGAGTTATCATATAAAGATACATCGACCACCCTTGTAGTAATGTAAGTTGTATTTTAAAATTAGTTGTAAGTTTATTGTAAATTAATTATAAGTAGATTTAAGCAACCATAACAGATGTAATGTTTTAACTCTGGTCTTTGTATTATTCAATCCAAAAGAAAAGACAATTTTAAAAAAAGGAATGAATTCTGGCTTTCAGAACGCTTAAAACGGAACTAGAAAATAATAGGATGGTGGATTGTTATACGATTTTCATGGTTTGAGCTACATTAAATTTTCTCAACGAAGGCGAACGAAAGTCTTCATGTCCTTCACCCTTCTTTTTCGAAATATGCTTTTTCACAAATACACGAGTTAAAATTTAACATTCGTAGACTTACTTGTTTGCATTCACAATATTTGCAAATCCCAACTTATGTATATTCTTTTAAAGCACGTGCTTGTAATATTAAGTGTTGAAAAACTGCAGGAAAAGCAGCCTTATTTTAGTCTGACTATATTTTCTGACAACTTCATCCTTCCTGATTTCTAGTCGCGCACCGCCCCCTCCCCTGGAAGAGACAGGCGCGTCCTCCAGAGGTGAGCACTATAGTGTTTACCAAATTGAATTTTCCATCAAGGGACATGTCCCCGATGCTCTATTCGTAGCGTATCCTTGCTGTACTTTACAAGCTTAGCGAATGGGACTTGATGTTTGAGTTCTAGTGAAGATTGAAGATTACTCGTAAGTGTTTGAGTTGTAGCGTTGGTGGCAACTATCTGAGGCGATTATTCAAGCGACCTGCTGTTCTGATCGGACAGTTCCGATCCTGTTTCCTGCGACCTTTCCTTTCCCATCTTGTCACTCCCACCCTTCTGTCTGAGCGATGGGTGGATCATCTACTCCCTAGATCGAAATATAATCTAACGAAACTTTAGCAGTAATTGCTTTTTTTTATTTAGCGATTAGTTATTCCGGGCGCGTCAGCTGCTCAGGTCATTATTCCCGTAAGTGTAGCGCAAGTGTTTTCCACAAGTGGTAGCGGTTGTCATCTCCTGCTGGATGGCGAGATCTGGCGCCGACCAACTGTCGGCAAGTAGGGTTTACCTCACTCAAGGTTATCGCCGCACGCAGCAAGACAGATAAGCTCGGGAACAAGCTCTAAGCTCCGACCGATCCCGGTGTGTGTGTGTGTGGTGTGTGTGTGTGTGGTGTGTGTGTGTGTATGGTGTGTATGGTGCAAGTTAAGTGCATGTAAGTGTCTGCGTGTGTAAGGGGTGAGGATGAGACAAGGAAGGGGAAGTAAATGTCGCGCGCGGTCAGTAGCCCGTTTCTTAGAGTACTGTTTGGACATTCCCTTGGGTTGGTGGGAGAAACCACGTAAAACTACCGATCAGAGCAGCCGGCCGCTAGAATTATCCTCCAGAAAGAGACTGAACTCGACTTAGCTTTGTAGCTAGTGTAGAAAATCCTGCCACCGTCGGGACCCGGTCAGAGGCACTGCAGGGACATAAGTTGATGTCCCTGAGCCACTTCCCCCGGTTTCAGCAGTCATGAAAGAAGATGGATGTCGAGCTACATCTCATTTACGAGTACATATACAAAAAGAAATATAATTTTAGAATCTTTCATAAAATCTTCTGCCTCCTCTCTCTAATCATCGATATCAATAAGTTTCTCAATATTTCCCCTCTTTGGAGCTCTGCCAATCAGTAGCGTCTCGGTACACATCCTTACAAAAAGCCAAAAGTGGACTCCCTCGCAATTGAATATCTGCTACACAAAGACATTAATATAAGCGCCGGAGGCAGACTTGCATTCAACTCGTAAATGAAATATGCCAGGCTGGGAAATGCATAATAGAGCAGCTGAACGGGAAAGAATTTTCAAAGGGCTTTTATGAGAGCGGGATCCGATGTAGCTTGTCTCTTAACTACCAGAGGAAGGATTGTTGGAGAAAAATTAATAAAGGATGGCAACGCTTATGAAGTTTAATGGAGAGAACGATGATCGCCGAGAACCTGCGCTGTGTGACGAAGGGTAGTTGAATTGTTATGAGCCATTTCTTATTCTATTTTAGCATTTTTTAAAGGATGGGCGAAATGAATGAATAAAAATGCGATTTAGCTCAAAGTTAAACAAATATAAAATATAAAAAAATGGTGAACAAAGACAAGGATATGTTCTCTTCTTGGTACTATCTTACGATAAACTTTAAAGTATTACACGTTTTACTGTCCATATTTAACCACCATTAAAACCGAGATTTGAAACATTTGTGTTCCTAAGTTTCTTCTGAAAAATAAAATTTCGTCTCTATAATCATTCAAGTATTTCAGAGAATACAAATTTCAATGGATTAACATTCTGCGTATTTGGACATTTGTTTTTATTTTATTATCGCTCAGTTTACAACTCACCACTTGCTCAATAAGGAATACAAAATATAGTTTACATATCTCCAGAATAAACTGAAACTATGGGGCTTCAAACTACACACAAAAATCAAAATACCACTTTTAATTTGGCAGGGATTAGGTCAGATCGATGGATGATGTATAACAATTTTAAAGATAATCGTCCAAAAGATGTAGGTGGTAGCGGTGTTCAGGCAACGAATAGACGTTTTGCTCTATACCAATTGTACGGTATCAAAGACGCACAAAACTACATGCTGTCTGACTACACATTGTATTAGATGAAGTAATTTACTACATACGGCAACAATATTTCATTTCTTTTCAGGTATTTGGTCGTCGCATAAGAAGTTTTCTAACGAACGATCGTCACTTTCCCCGGCAACACTATAATACTTTCACTTTACTACGTAAATTAGTATGCAAGAAAGTAAAAATGAAGTTTTAAAGTAAATGAGTTTATAGTTTGCGTTGGCAGTTAAAATTCATCGTTCACAAGTTTCATAACTGTTCATAATCGAAGTTAACATGATTCACAGGCGTTATGTGAATAATAATCATTAATAAATGTTATAAAGACACTGTTATAACTCAAAATTCGTATTTTTCCGAGTTCTCCAAATTTTTATTCATTTTATTTATTTACGTCAAAAACAGTTAAAAACTGTGTGTGACGTGCTATGGGGAGAAGTTAATTTGAAGTTACATTTATGTCCAGAAGCAAAACAAGGGGCCATCCCAGCATTTGCTCGAGGATCAGGGAAAGTGGACGAAAACCTGATCGAGATGGGGGTCAATGACCCAGAAGCTGAAGTACAATGCTTGTTACTGGTTCTTTACAATTATACACTCCAAATGGTATAAAATACATTAAATGTCATTGTTGAAATTAATATTAATTTCCTTTTGGATGCACGGGATAGTCTCTAATTGTATAGAAACAGTTGTGAAGCAGAAAATATTTTACTTGGGATTTAAACTTTTGTATCGAATTTAATCGTTTAAAGTCATCTGGCTAGTTGTTGTAAAATAATGTAGATGTATTATATGTGAATGTTTTGTAGTTAATCTTGTAGCCCATGAACGGAGTGTGTTATCCTTGCAATGACCTTCGGAACAAGGTCATGCGTGTTGCACCACCAATCCACGCACATGTGCCACCGTTTAGGGAGCGCGAATCGTCTGACACGCAACGTCCTTCCAAAAGAGTTCCCAGAAGCGTTCTTCACGAAATCTCTTTCCTGCCGCGCCTCTTTTGTTTCGAATCGTCCTCCGGTGGCGCGGCGCGCGGCGAGTGTTCCTGCGCGAAGATAAATCAGTTAATTGTTGTTTGCCGTCGGCGTTTCCTGCTCCCCCCCCCCTCTGCCGCACAGACGTGCGCCTCCGCGTTCGATTATTCTCTGCCATTCACGTGAATGGAACTAAACGCGCTTTTCCTCGTTTTGTTTGCAGGGATAGACAAAAAAAACTGGATTCTCGCGACGAGTATGAGTTAACTCTTCATGAAATCAAATTGCCCGTTGCTCGGGTGATGAAGTTTGGCCAGAAAACAAGAACACGTTTTGAAGTGGCCTAATTCATTAGATTTGATTCGTTTGCACATGCTTTCTGCTACTTTCGATAAAAAAAAACAAACAAAAAACAATGTATCAGTTCGTCACATTCAGCGGGTTTTACCTGATTTACTTGTGTAATTCAATACCCAACACATTTGAAACAAATATAAAGAATCAATGTGTAAGGAAGGTTCATTCTCAATATTACTTGTGTACGTTCATTGAAATAAAAAATTATAGGTCATAAATTCTATTTATTGCATTATTGATCTTTATGTATTATCTTTGTTATAAGTTTACTCTGCATCTTTAAACATATTGGAAAGTTATGCATCTAAAGACAATTGTAACTTGGGGCGGTGCACAACAGCAACACAAATAGACAGTACCTACATACTACGAGAAATACATGCAAATTATAAATAACCCTATTTACGAAAACTGTGACTACAATGAGCGTTTGAAATCTTTGGTTAATAGACGGTTATGTTGTTCATCATAGACAAATATGTTTTCACTGAAGAAATTTTACCAGGACAAAAGTCTGCTATTCACAGCTGCACTCTAGATCACAATAAGAATTGCCAAAGAATCGCATTTAGGATTCTCTCTATCTTAAAATTAACTCATCTACTATCACTGTTTACTTCTGAAGTCCAAAGTTGCCTGATTTGATTTCATTTATTTAGTACAAAAAGAGTAAAAACTTTATGTGACGTATGGGGAACAAAATCAACTGCGCACAGCATTTTTCTGCTGAATACTAGGTGTTACGAAACTGGAAGAATACTATTTGTTTCCCACTAGTCGTTTCTGATAATGAATTAAATTAACTATTACATGTCAGCCGTCTATAGGTTTCCATTTAAAATGTTGTTTACTGAAGAAATGACATGACATCCATATTGTCTAATTATATTTGAAGACTTACAATTTGAAAAAAATACTTCACTTAATTTATATTTCATTGAAATTGGTTGCACAATAATCGAATTAATTTTAAAGCAACCGACTAATTGTTACAATTCAACTGGATCGATTAGCTTAATTCCAATTAAATCCGTTGTACTTAGTTTTCGTTCAGTCGAAGCAAACAAATATTCCCGAGAAAGCCTTTGTTTCTTGCTCTTGTTTTTAGTGGCTCTCAGCGGTGGTCGATCCAAGGACGATCCCAGCCGCGGGCGTCGGATGCCCGCGCGCAGTGGGCGGTGTGACTCCTGGCCTCGCACGAGAGCAACGCCACGCATTGATCGCCCCTTCGGAACCAATCGACGCCCACGACTCCGCGGTCATCGAGCGGCTTTCGCTTTCTTTGCGGAGGCGGCGGTGGCGACGGCGTCTCTCGGGATCGCGTCGCCGGATTTTCACTCTCTGTTGTTCCGGCAAAGGTGGCTCAGGGCATCAATTGATGTCAATGACTCAGACGGGGAGGTCCCAGAGTTCCACTCCCGACTATGGCAGGACTTTCGACACTGTCTTGTAAATAAGGTCGAATTCAGTAGCTATCAGGAGAAAACTTTGGGAAGCTAATTGCTCTGATCGGTAGTTTTACATGGTTTCTCCGATCAACATCAGGTCAATGCAGGAGTAGTACCTTAACAAACGGGCCACGGACCGCGAGATCTTGCTTTCCCCTTCCTTGTCCTACCCACCCCTTACTTACTCTCACGTACACTGCTCTATAACACTTGTCGAAAGACCAGTTGGCAGCTTAGAATCGGTCCCAGCTGTAGCGACACCACGCTGGTGGGTGATACTTGGTTGGGGAAAATCCCCGTAGGCCAACGTAGATCGGCGCCGGATCTCGCCATCCAGCGGGGCAAGATCCTCACCAGCTCACGCAATAAAAACATGCACTACACTTACGAGCCTAATCACATTAGAAGTTGACGAACCCGGCATCACTAATCAATAATTGCGTAGTTTATGCGGGAAAGACAATGCTTGTGAATAAAGCCTGGTGAATAAATTAAAAAATGTGGCGGTCACAGTGGGGCCTATTTAGGCCGAAAATTCGTTTGACCGATGTCTGAAGTTTGCGCCCGATTCGTTCTAGTAAAAGTGATGGTAAATGAAAAGGAATAAATTGAAACCGGACAACCTCTTTTGACTGCGTCCAGAAAGACGTTCAGACGAAGTTCTGTTTAGTTTGGTTCTGTGAGTTCCATTCGTCCGTAATCAGCTGGAGAGTCAAGGCCATCTGCAATACACAGAATACATGCATTACTTGTAGTTTGTCTTTAGCATGCTGCTCTCAAATGTTTTAAACAATGAACTGTGTAATTATGGAGATATTCGGCCGATGCAAAATTCTGGTGTTTTTCGGATAAATAAGTGAGACGATTTCACTCACAGTCGTCCGGTAGCGAGCGACCGATATTTTGGTCACATTGTGACCTTAATCTAAAAGGCTGCTGATTGTCCCGAGATAAACTCTCGAAGCCACAGCAAGTCTTTCGATATTCACAAATGTTAATGTATTGTTTTTGGCGGAAGTGCGAATAATATTTTTAATCTATGTTTTGTTCATACGTATGACGGACTTCAGGAAGACAAGTTGAGACACAAATAGAAATACATTAGAACAAAATCGAGACAATAACATTTACGAATAGCGGGACGCTATTCTTGCTGTGGCTAGTGCGGATTTTTTTGTAACCACCTCAAGCTCATCGTTTACACATACAAAGCTTTTTAAATTGAAACTACAACCAAAGAACACTGTGCTCACTCACATAAACATAATTAAAAGTTAGGGTGGTTCTTGTTTTGATGCATTTAAATTTTTTATTGGCATTTATTTTTAAATTTGATGCTTTATTTAATTGATCGTTCTTTAAATGGTTCTTTATTTGAATCGCTAGTAATAAGTGATGAGCACGATGAATGAGGCACATACATTTGAACTTGAATTGTTTTTTAATATTCAATTTATGTACATTTAAAATTACAAGCTAAAAATATTTTTGAATCTTGTGATCAAACCTTTTTTTCCTCTTTGGCCAAGAACTTGTAGTCCCATTGGTTTGATTGACGTGCTTTTCATGTGTGTTGTGTGGTTTAGTTTAGCTAGTAGCGATGTTATTTCATCGTCTGGGACGAGCAATAGTCAGAACCAATATCCATATCGAATACCATTTGCAAGAGCAAATAGATATTTTGTTCTTGGATATTATTAATCACTTCTGGTCGAATGCGGTTGAAGTGTCCAAATCGTAAAACAAAATCATTTTCCTCTATGTTTTATAGTTTATAACTTTATTCCGAAAACAATCTTTGAAATTACAGTAATCATCAAGAATACAATCGTCATTTCCTTCTTAAGAATCTATTAATGATTCATGATTCAAACGCATTTATAAAATCTTCACGCTTTACTAAAATCCATTTGAACATACCACTTGGACACTTCAAATTTCTTTAAAAGTGTTGATACACAATGATACACGGTGTGGAAGACATAGTGTTCAAAATCTCATAAATGAGTTGTGAACATTTTAGTAGCAGAATTCTACATAAATATGTAAAAATACGTATAATTTCCCTAATATGCATACGTATGTACATAATAGGTTACTTAATTTCGAGAAACGTTTGTTAAAAACTCCCGGTTTTTCGACGGAAAACTATTTATGACTCTCTGATACCGGCAAAAAGGATTTTTTTGCTCATACGTGTAGTACATTACTTTTTATCTTAGAAGCAGGTCTCATTTTCATTGAACCCACTAAATTTTCAAAAATTGCAAAAGTTAAAAATAGTGCGCTAAAGTATGTATTGTAATATCATAGATACATAGAAAATCAAAAAATTGAGAAAATGTGAAAATGTCGTGATAGTAGCTGGAATACAGTGAGAACCAAGCCGAAAAGCTAGCCCAAACGAAAGGGTTTAGGAAACTAATTAGTACGAGAAAGTTGTGTTATTATGTAACACCACTTAGTTTTACTTCTCTGTGTTAATTTTTACGCTGCAGGAGGTATTTTGGAAAAATAACAAAGAAACCACTGGGCATCGCGCTTACCCTTGTGAGCTGTGGTAACTCAATTAGCGATGATAAAATATTACAAATTTAGGCAAATTAAGAGATTTTTTCTCAAATAAATGTCATTAACGACTCCCCTATGCATTTGCAGCTAAATTAAAATATTTTTAAACTTGGATATTGCATGACATCTGTTTTACTTTCCATTCCTACTTTCTACTCCGTATTAAAGACTTCAGAAAGACTCTCCCCCCAAAAAAATTGCAATTTTTAGAAGATTTTAAATTCTACGAAAAAATATTTATTTTTCTGATGTTTTGAACATAAAGCGTTCAAACTACAAAGCAACTCTGTGGGTTATAATTCGTGAATGTCCTTCGTAAGCAAACAAATGCTCTCGACTTCCCGCCGGGAGTCACCTTCTAATCGAACGGGTTCGCTTTCTTTGGTCCCTTGGTCTCGTGTCTCTCGTGCGCGCTCTCTGCTGCGCAGTTCAGGTTGTATCGATGTCGCTTCAATGCAGTGGCAGCTCAGGACATTATATTCCGTGGGCGGCCAGCAAATTAATTACCCCATCACCTTACACAAGGCCTAACCGAAGAGCAGAAGTCAGCACATTGTGGCCGGGAAAATATCGAGCTTCAATGAGGTCACTCCCTTCCCTCATGTTTTGTTGTTTGTTTCCAAAAAAAAATAACACCTTGTTATGCGGTTTCCCTTTTAGTACTTTTGATTCAGTACATAGGACGCATAAATACATAGTTAACAATTGGGGAATAAAGAAACAAAAATTTACAATACCCATTCGCTTAAGGTTATCTAAGAAGAGTTCTCTGTAAACGTACGAGTGTATGTCAAGAAGTATTTGAACCATGCTTAACAATATAATTGGTCCATTATATAACCACATCCAAACAAAGGAGTTTCGATTGAGGCGCAAGCCATGTATGCATTACTATCTCACCCGTATGTTGAAGGCCAATATTCGGTTTCTTAAATAACTTTTAAGTGGACCTTACAGGAGTTTGAACCTAACAGGTAATTACACGTGCCAGATTTGGAACTGTATGCAAGATGCTCTGACCCCTCTAAATACAGATTTTGAAGGCCTCGACAGATATGAGAATGCAAGTTGTGTTGCAACAAAAGAATGTCTTTAGAAACTCCACCTCAGCGTTCTCAGGTAGAATTTGACTAACGAGAATATGGTTTGCCACTTCGTAGGCCATAATTCAGTAGACACTCAGCGGTTATGCGGAAGAGCACGGACTTGTTTAACACTGGAATCAGTGGGAGATAAGGTAGGGCATCTTTCTCTTTTCGCATTCAGCAGTTTTATTGGATTGATTTTTAATGGATTAATTCACTGGTAAGCTCTTGCCAAGGAGAAACATTACTCCCACATTGCGCTGTAGATCTAAGGATTTCAGGATTCGGTACAAATTCCGACAACAAAATATAGATTACAAAAGTCTGCTATTTTGTGTGAAAATGCAGGGTGCAGCTATGTTTACGTTGCAACAACTGAAGAAAACTTTAGGTGAAAACGTTGGAAGTACCCATAAACAAAATGAACGATATCTTAAGGCTGGTAATTACACATAACACTACAGTCAATTTAAAGATTATTAGTACAAAAGTGCATATACTTACTGACTTCCACTCGCATATACGATAATTTCTAATTTATTTCGATTTATTCGTTAATTTAAATGTAATAATTATATTTATACGATTGGTATATTACTTGACAAATTAGAAATATTAGAGATATGTTGAATGTTTTCATTTAAAGAGGACAAACATTTACAGGTTTGCATATGGTAGATGGTCAAGATGGTAATAATGAATAAAAATGATTTTAGAATTTAAGAAATTGTTAATAGGTTCTTTAAAAACTTCTTATTAATGATGTTTGTTTTTTTGACCATGCAAATCCCCTTAATAATTTTAGAAAACTTATATTTTTTTTTGATATTTGACAGCCTGCTGACTTCTCATTTGTCACACTGTACTGCTAATTCTAGTGATATATTCCCATCACTTTGAAGATAAATTGATTTCTACAATTGTCAACCCCTCGCCAGGTGGCCGACAGGAGAACAACCTCGTGGACATTCAAGGAACTGGAACGAGAGCACGACGGACGGTCGTTGTCGCATACGACAGCCGCGTGAATAAACCAGGCGCAATTGATTCCCCGGAACATCAGTTGCTGGTCGAAGTGGCACGTGACTATCTCATTTTTTTCGAAGTGAATGGAAGCACTAAAAGAAGGGTTGAATATTGACGATAAAGAAAATTGCTGCGCTCTTGATAAATTGCCGCCGCCGTCTTCTGCTAAGACTCAGCAATTTACAGAGGCACTACAGCACCAAAAAGCAGTTTACGAAATAATTTTCAATTCGAAACCTCTTCCACGGAATCGTACGTATGCATTACTGTTATTTTTCAAAAAAGATTTCTAGGCACCTTGTATGAATTATAAATGTAATTTCTAAGGAAGTACAAGAACAATTGCGCTCAAGAAAACTGCCATTAAAACAGCGATATGTGCCCTACCGCATCTTTGGTAGGGTACATCTTGAAATAATGTTTTGTAATTTATAATAGGTTCAGATTTTTTACACTTTAGCTTAATATAGAAATACTTGATCCATTAAAACTAGTTTAAAACAAGAATCAACGTATCATAGTTGTATGATGCACAAAGAAGTCTTAAATAAAGTTTATTCGGCTGCAAGTTTTAAATATTCATTTGAAATAGAAAAATATCTTTGCAATAAATCGAATACCAGTGCTCTTCGTTTCCAAGTGTCAAAGTATTACTAAAATTAATCAAAATCCAATGTTTTAAGATGTACTTAATATATACACAGTAACATTAATACGCAAAATTTGGACTCAAAGGCTGAAACAGAAGGAAAATCCGGAGTGTGTGTGTTTGCGTTCCCTGCTTTGTACTACCAAAGCCAGCCCACCCCTAGAAACCCCACATCCCACCCGTCCAGATAAAAGTAGAAAATTCTTTTGTTCACGCGAGGACGACAAGTCTGACGCCATTAATAATACTGAAAGCCCTACCCCGAGGGCTTTCCCCCTCGTTTTTCCACGTTTAGTTTACATCAGTCGGTAAAATATACCTGAGGGTGTAAGATGGAACAATAAAAGGAAAAAAAACCACAAAAAAGTCGCCCTTGGGAGACACCAGTGAC